AAATATAGAGACAAGAGGGTGATTTCTTGTAATCCTTTGGGTGAGTATTCTAGAGAGAAAAAATGATGTTTGAAAGCTTGTGAGAGAGCTTTAAAACTATTATATTCTCCATGTTGATATTTTTCTGATTAATGAAAAAGAAGTTTACCGCCTATGGACCTAGGGAATTGCCATATTACATAAATTTTTGTGTTTCTCTATTTTAATTTTCTACGTTGTTTTCTTTCCCCTTATTTTTTTGTCCAAATTTTATTTTTATCCTCTATGTATGATTGACTCTTGACCATCCATTTTGACTAACCATGTATCTAGGAAATTGGACTCATAATCAATTTTTCCTTTATGGTGGTGTTGATATTAGGATGCATCAAATATGCTTTCTAAATGTTTTAAGGTAGTGTTGGATAATTTTCACTGCTGTGTCTCTAGAAATCACCCATGATGTTGACTTTTCTAGATTATGGGATGCATGGAAATCACTCATGCTGCTGACTTTCTTAGATTTTGGGATGCATGTGAAAATTGGTAAGGTGAAAGCTGGAAACCTTGATTGATAAACTGTGGTACTGGTAGTTTCACATGTTTGGCAATGGGAAAGCTAGAAATTGCATGTAATATTGTTCATTATGTATTTCACTGATATGATTTGTGAAATGCAGTTTTTAAAAAGTATTTTGTAATTAAATAGGGTTTATTCCATTCATCCAACATATTATAAAAAATATAAATAGATTCAAGGAATACTAATATTTATATAAATAGTGAAGAATATTGTCATCAAGTCCATCCCCATCTAATGCTCTCTCTCTCTACACCCACATGTTACAAAAAAACCATCTCACCTGATGACTTCACCTTCTCCTTAACAAGGCAAACAATGCTCCCCTCCCATGAGGAAAACTCAAGAATCAGTGACATTTCATATGAAGGGCATGAAGCAATGTAAACATATCCAATGTATAAAAGTCGTTTGTCCATCCACCTTTAGGATGCCTAGAGGAAGCCATCTGTGGCAACCAAGGATAAACTACCTTCTGCATTCAAGTTTTGGGATTGTATGGTCATATTTTAGTCAAAATCTATTTCGAAATCATACTCCAAGAAGATTGTTTTAGAAGATGATAAAAAAAACATCAAAAGACAGTTATGCTACAAATAAAGAATTTACCATAAGGGTGAAACAAGTCTGCTACAGAGGATACTACAGCCTATCAGCGAGTTAATACTAATCTAATGTCTTGCTTTCCATTGTCTAGAAACTATGAAATTTGAACCAGAGATTATTACACAATCCTTCACTTTTTCATAAAATTTTACCTCAAAATAAAACATTTTTTTTCTTGAATAATTCTTCAAGTCGGAGCCTAATTTCCTAGTTATTTTATGCAACATAAAACTTAATGAGAATGAAGAACATTTTGTTTTACAGTTTAAAATTGTTTAAATTCCATGAAATTATTATTTGAATCTCCCAATACCTATGATCTATATTCACACAAAATTTTAGCTTCATTGGTGGCCTCTACAACTTTGTGTAAAGTTTATGTATATATTAAGTTTTATAACACATAAAAATCATGAAATAAAGCTTTTGCAGTGCCTAAGAACTCATTTACAATGAAAAAAGTCACTAATTTGGGGTTTATCAGTGAGTAAACTCACTGATTTGGAATTTATCAGCCAAACTAGCAGAACAAAAAAAAGATTAAAAAAAAGAAAACTCATTGATTTGGGGTTTATCATATAAAATCGCAGCGAAAAATAATTTACATTAATGCAGTCATTGGGGTTTAACATCATGAAAATAAGTAAATAAATTAATTAAAAACAATAATCTTGGGTTTATCAGTGAGTTAATTCAAATATTTGGGGGTTATTAGGAAAAACTGCAAGAAAGGAAAAAAAACTCATTGATTTGAGGTTTATCAATGAGATAGCTCCCTGATTTGGGGTTTATGAGCCAAAATAAAAGCAAAAAACAAAAAAAACCTCACTGATTTGGGGTTTATCATATAAAATCATAGCAAAAAAAAAAAGTACATTATTGCAGCCATTTGGGTTTAACATCATAAAAACAGAAAAAAAAAGTAAATTAAAAACTTACTAATTTGGGGTTTATCAGTGTGTTAACTCAAGCATTTGCGAGTTATAAGTACAACATCAACAAAGGAAAAAAAAAATCACTGATTTGGGGTTTATGAGCCAAAATAGAAGAAAAACAAAAATAAAAAACCATATTAGGGGCATTTGACCCGAAAGTTTTAACCATACACTCTTTCGTTGTGATGAAGATCCAAAAAAAAAAAAAACCACTATTTGAAAATGCGCCCCAAAAGGTGCATATTTTAACCCAAGGAATGTCCACTTAATGTGATGGTTAGATCTTCGCCTTAAAAGAGCTTTGTTTTAAGGGATCTTATACTATGATATCATTTACCGTTATTACAAGGAGGTTATCATGATTCCTAACCATTATATGTCAAATTGGATGATATGGGGTCTATCATGAAGTTCGATAATTTTTTTTTTGAACTTTGGATTTGGTCAATGACATACTTACAATCAAGTGATTTAAAATATGATAGACAAGAGTGATTTTGACCACCTTCTACTAAAAATAAATAGTCTCTTTGTATACTTTCTTATTTTTAATCATAAATTTTTTTGATGGCTTAAAGAGAAAATTGATTTTTGGTTCTTAAAAGCCATAATCTCAATGCCCACTAATGAATGAAGTTGATTCATTGTTGGATAGGGACTCATTTGACCTCTTTTGAGGTGTAAATATATGTTTTCTTATTTTCAGATTCATCATTGAGATGAAACATATGCGTGTAAAATTTGAGGTAATACAAGTAAAAGGGAATATGATTTGTTGAAATACTAGTTTTTATTAAGAGCAAGCTTTTTATGCTTCCCTTATGGGATAAACCTTATATGCTTCTCCCTCTCCAACCGTCCATTCTGAATGGACGGCTGAGATTGTCCTAATCACAATGTTATGTCTTTACACTATTTTATTTTTAATTTTTTTTTTTACAAACTATTTTGATACCAAATTTTTGGCGTCCACTCCTCTCTTAAAGTTGCACCTGTAAAAAATATTAAAAAATAATTTTTCAATAAAATATAGTAACCAAAATAACCTTTGAAACTTTCAAGGCTATTTTGATCATTTTATTTTATTGAGAATATTTGTTTTCAGGAGTCATTTTATTTTATTGAACATATGTTATTACCCCTTGACATAATTTTATTTTATTGAGAATAAAAGGGTGAAAGTACCAAATTTCATATTCATATAATTTATAGAAAAACTAAAAATAAATAAAATACTCTTAAACATCGAATCTAGATCAAACGATTAGTAGCTTACTTGATCTAAATTGGACAACTGGATAGGTGGAGAAACACATATTAGGGGAAATACCAAAACCCTTCCTATATTATTTCATACATTTCAAAAAGGTCCATGTCTTTGGACAATGATAAGCTTGATTACTGCATTTTATGGATCATCAATCCTGGCAAACGCAGGAAATCAAGAGCAAAGGAAATAAAGTTCTCTCTCTCTCAGGTGAGAAGTAAAATTAGGGTCATATGCCTGCCTTTTAAGAAAGAGTAGAATAAATAAAATAGATGCTCTCTCGTTAGGCGCAGCAATGGACAAGTGACACGGCCTAGTCGGCCTGGCCCGAAAAAAAATTAGGGCCTAGGCCACAAAATATAGCTTGAGGGCCGAGCTTGGACCAAGCCAACACTGGCACGACCCGGCCCCTCTTTTTCATACTTTTTTGCATTGTTTTTTTTAAATTTTACTCGGCTCGACCCTCAAGGAATAGCGTCGGGCTTCGGCCAGGGTCGTTGCCAGCCCTAATAGTAGTAACGCAAGGTCATGGTAGCATACGGGTAGTCCATGCCCCCTTTCTCATTCTTCTCTAAAATTTTTCTATACTTCCCCTAATGCACGGTAGTTATATACTTCCCATTATCTAGACATAAGATCTAAATGAACGGCTAAGATGGATCCAATTACGATGTCAATACCTATACATTTTTTTTTCTACAAAATATTTTGGCACCAAATTTTGGACGTCCACTCATCTCTTAAACTCGCTCAAACAAAAAACATATAAAAAATACTCCCGATAAAATAAAATAATCAAAATACCTCTGAAAATTTTATTTTGGTTATTTTATTTTATTAAAAATTATTTTTTTATATATTTTCTTGTCACGTACTAAATTTCATAAATCCTAAAAATAAAATCCCTCTAGATCAAACAGTCAATGACTCATTTGGTCTAAATAGTATAGAACTTGAAACAGTAAAGGAAGTAAAGGAACCTTTTCCTTTTCCACAACTGCCTTTCTCACCCTCCTCGCATACCATGTACATATCAAGAAAGATCATGGGGTCACAACAATCCTCAGCCCCTATCCCCATTTTCGATCCACTAAAACTTTTTACCCTTACCCATCTTCTTCAACCTACAGAAAGAGAGAGAGAGGGATTTCCCCATTTATTTGGCTATTTCAAAATATTTTCCTGACTATTTTAAAAATAGTCAAATAAATCAAGATACATTGTAACATGAGATTCTCATGAGAAATTACTGCACTGATGAAAAATTAGTAATTCACACAAAAAAACATACCATGTTATTCATTATAAAAATCCAAACAAAAAACAAAGAGGCTGAAATTCCTCCAATAATAAGAGAAATACATTTCCACACTTACGATTTTATACCACACCTACAACTGCAAAGATAAAAACAAAAAATCAAAAATAAAACTAAAAATAAAAGAACTAGATACCTTTTGCTTCTTCTTCACAAGAAACTCCCCCATCTTCTTGACCATATATTCCACACTGTTTTTTAATATATTCAACCACATAGCACACTTATAATTCCAAACATACATACAAACAACTAATATTTAAATAAAAAAAAAAAAAAAAGAAGAAGAAGAAGAAGAAACTAGATACCTTTTGCTTATTCTTCATAAAGAAACTCTTCCATCTTCTTGGCCATATATTCCAAACTATTTTTTACATATTCAACCAAACCCTCATAGCTCATAAAAGTTTGAGGTTCAACCTTAAAGAACCAATCAATCACACTCCCCTTCTCTTCATTCTCATGAGATTCAGGCAAAACACTAACTGTTGCCTCATATCCAACTAACCCAACATTAGAATCAGTCACCACATAAATCATTTTTCTCTCAGCAGAATCAATGAAAACCAGCTTCTCAGTGGCCCAAGCTATGTCATTTTCTCCTACTTTGTTCGAGCTAGCGGCACAGTATCTGATACAACCTGGTTTTCCATTGATCCCTTCGATTTTCTTGCAGATGTCGATGGTCGGAAGCCATTTCTCTATGGAGAAGAAGTCCTCTAAGAGTTGCCACACTTTGTGGGGAGGTTGGTTGTGAACTGTGGCTCTTAGAGTGGCTTCCCATATGGGTAATTGGGGCTCTTTATCTTGCAGTTTTGATGCTCCTGTTTCTTTGTCCATGGAGGAAGAGATTGGATGGTTACTGGTTTAGAGAGAGAATTATAGTTTTGGGGGAAGAGAGAGAGAGAGAGAGAGGCAGATAGATTCTTCAGTAAGAGAATTACAAAGGGAAACCGATTGTGGAAGACAGTGGCCTTTTTTTTGTTTATTCCGTGGAAGACAGTGGACTTTTTTTTGTTTATTTTCTAATGTCTCTTCCATCTCTCTCTCTCTCTCTCTCTCTCTCTCAACATGGCTCCGTCGCAGGAGTAGACTGTTCATTTACACACTCAGGTAGAAATCCATATAGAATTAATTTTAGGACCCACGATGTAACCTCTTCAACCGATAAATTACCCTCAATAGAAATATTTTTGAATTGTACCGTCTATGCACTTGAGAAAAAAAGAATTTCTCAAGATTGAATGTTTTAGATTGGTGAGATCTAAGTATAGAAACTCAAATTTCAATTTTTTCTAGAATAATCATCAAATGTTCTTTAAGTGGTACTTAAAATTTTAGATTGAAAAACTCCTCTCAAATAGGTCTTCTAACCGAGGGAGTAGAAATAAACTATGCTCTTTATAAAATCTCTCTAGTTTGTATGATGTAATCATGTGGGAATCGAGTGTCTACATCTATTCCCTCAGGCAAATGAAAAATTCTTTGATTGAAAATCTTGGAATCCACTTTAGAATTACCATGTGAACATCGTGGTAAACTTAAATTTTGATTTTAAGTTTTTAGACACTTAAATTTAAGTATCCCAAAATTGGAAAAGCATTAAATCTTTTAAGATATTTTGTTCACAGGCGTGTATAGAGGACACATGAAAGCTCTCTTTATTTCGAGGTCTCTAGCTAGATTGAGAATGTTAAATCTCCAAAAAATTGAAGACCCTATATTAACTGTGGGAGTGACCTAGAATATGTATACTGCATTTCCGGAGGAGCATAGTGCACATCTACTGCCCAAAAAATCACTAGATAATTATTTTCAAAAGAATTTTTTTAAAAAATTTGAGTTTTTTAAAACTTACATCTGACCTTCTAAAAATTGGAGAGTCTCTATTCAATCTTGAGACGTTGCGTTTTTTTTTCAACTGCACAGAGGGGGCAGTTTGGACTCTTTATTGAAGTTAATCTATTGGTTGAAGATATTATATTCCTAAAATTTGAGTCCTTAAAATTAATCCTAAATGGAATTTTTCCTATCATATCATTTGGATTCTATCAATGGCATGCTATTTTGATTGATTGAGTCTCTTTCTCGATGCTTAACAATTGCAATCCCGTGAAATACAACTGGCGTTGTGTTTTTTATGTTGCAATATGACGCCAAAGAGAATCTATGGGAAATATGCCACGTCCACTTACCTCATGTTCCCAACATGATCTCCACCGTCCAACACAATACTTGGAGGGTGGTGATTGGACTGTTGAGAGAGGTCAATAGTAAGGTCAATCTTCCACGGCTGCCCCTTAAGTCTAGGAGTAGCCCATGAATCCATGGCCGCACATGTGGTACTATGCTCCTTTGAGAGCATAATGTAGAATTATTCCCTCTAGTAAAAGGCCGAGAGGATTTTTTTGAATCTCAAATCTTGGAAACCACTTAAGAATCACTAGATGATTATTTCTCAAAGAAAAAAAAAAAAAAAGGTTTTGAGTCTACTGATACTTGGATTTATCATTTGAAAATTTGGATAGTTTCTATTCAATCTTGAGACATTATTTTTATTACAAGCCAGTGTGATTTAAAAAAAAAAAAATTTATTGAGAATAGTCTATGAGTTGAAGAGGTTACACCAACAAAATTTGAGTCCTAAGATATTCCTAGGTTGGATTTTATGAAGGGAATTAATGGAGCATATGCTGATGAGCATGAAATCCTTTTGCGTAAATTTAGAGGAAAACGAAAACTTCATTGCATGATTTCTTGGAAAAAAAAAAAAGGTTTTGGAAGTTAGAAATACTCAAAATTTAAACGTCATTGCATGATTTTTTTTACAAAAGATAGGTTTTGGAAGTTGAAATACTCAAAATTTCGGGGGCAGGGGCGGGGGCAGGGCGGGGCGGGGGTGGGTGCTGGGAAGGGGGGGACACGTAGGGGGGTGGGGGGGGGGGGGTTTAAGGGATTGACCTAGTCAACTCGAACTCAGCCAAGTTACTCAGGGACTAACCGAGCCTAAGTTGTCCCTAGCTGGAAAAAAATTCAACAAAGTTTATAAAAACTCCAAAAGATTAAGAAACCTATTTATAATTTTTTCTTAAAATTTTTTAATTTTTTTTTATGTTTTCTATCATTTAGGAGAGATTTGAAAAGTATTTTGGTCATGAATACTTCTTTTTTTTTTTGACAAGTGCACATAAAATTTTATTCAAAACACAACACCTCGATTACAAAGATAAAGCATAAATAAACTAACAATTAGCTTCGACCCATTTTTTAGCAAGAGAGTCGGCTCTCTTATTAGCCTCCCTATAAACATGGTTGAAACTAACCATCTAATTTCGGCATAAATCCATAATCTATAACCAATGCTTCCTATAACTCTAAGGAGGCTTACTACTCCCCGAACATCAATTAATAGCAATAAGAGAATCCCCTTCTACCACCCATCCTAGTAAAGGATAACGCTCATTCACAATTTTAATCCCCTATAAAACAGCCATAAACTCAGCATTATTGGCTATAGCAATCCCGCTTGGGCCACAAAAAGAAAAGATCTCCTTGCCTGAAGAGTCTGTAACAATACCCCTAGCCCCACTAGTCCAGGATTCCCATATGAGCAACTATCAAAATTAAGTTTCACACAACCATTGCTGGGTGGGATCCAAGTTCTTCAAATAATTGGTCTCTACCTCCTAAAAAGCATCAAAGTCCGACGATTGAGGAAAACATCAGTTCTTGAAATCCCCAAACCTTCTTTGGGGACCGGCAGCCATAACCAAACATTCTGGATAATCTGAGCTAAGTCTAAACAATTACCTTCGAAGATCCGTCTATTCCTTTCAAGCCACATTTCCCATACAATTGAAGATCTAAGTAACTGCCAATTCATAACACCTAACTTTGGAATAAGAGAAATATGCAAGTGATCAATAATATGAATATGTTGTTCAGGTAAAGGGAGTGAAATCCCTATTAAAAGAAGCATCCATCTCTCCATAAGGAAAAATAAAATTTGCAGTGTGAAAACAAATGATCTTCAGTCTCCTCATCCTCTTTACATAAAATGCAGCAATTGACAATAACTTTTCTCCTTTTCCTCAAATTTTCCACAGTTAGCGCTTTATTTTGTGACAAAGTCCACTAAAAAATTTGTATCTTATGTGGAATGCGCCACTTCCATATAGATTTAAGATTTGGTTATTCCCATCTAACTCTATCATGATATAACAAATGATAGGCAGATCTCACCGAAAAAGCTCCATCATTTGAAAGCTCCCAAATCACCTCATCATCAAACTCATGCGAAACATAAATTGTGGATAAGTCCCTCAAAAGATCACAAAACTGTGTCAAAATGCTGTCTGGGACCCCTATTATAAATGAGGCGAATGTCCCAATTAATCATTTCTGCACATACAAAATAAGTATCTTCCACCTTCAATGGCTAGTTAATGGACTTTTCAAAGAACTCTCTATATTACACCTTTAAGAGATTAGGCCCCAACCATTTGTGATTCCAAAACTCAATCGCAGATCCCCTCCCAACCTCCCACCTCGCATTCCTTGACACCACCTCCTTTTGAGTGTAAATGCCTTTCCAAAGTTGAGATCGACTATTACGGCCTCTCATTTTCCCAATGAACCATTCATGATCCACTCCACACTTAGCGACCAACACCTCTTTTTATAATTGATCCCCTCCCAGCGTAGACCTCCACCACCATTTAGCAAGGTGGGCTTGATTTATTGACTTGATCTTGCGAATTCCCAAACCCTATTCCGACTTAGCACAAACCTTATCCCAACCTACTAAATGGTATTTACGATTTCCATCAAGGGAATCCTATAAAAAATTTTGCATGAGGCGTTCTATTTCTTTTACTAGAATGGCAGGCATATGCAATAAGGATAATAGGACACGCCTCCTGGAGACATGAACTTGGACTTCCAAATATTCAATTTAGTATGAACTCTCTTCAATACTGGATCCCAAATAGCGCTAGTGAGTCTAGAATATGATATAGGAATCCTAAGATATGAAGTAGGAAATTGACCCACAACACACCCTATATTTCCAACTAAATGATTTATAAAAGTACCGCCACAGCCTACCCCTACCAAAGTAGTCTTTACGAAGTTTACTTTGAAGCCCAGAGTGACTTCACAACATCTTAATAATAAAGAAATGGCCAACACTTGCTGCAAATTAGCATCACAAAAAATATCAATGTGTCATCAGTATACTGAAGATGTGAATGATTGGACCACCATCAGTGACCTTAAATCCATTGAACTATCCCTTACATTCCACTCTCCTAAGCATTAGACTAAACCCTTCAGCCATTAAAGTAAAGAGAAAAGGAGATAAAGAGTCACCTTGCCTCAATCCCCTTGAGGCTTTGAAAATGACTTTTAGGCTGCCAATAACTAAAATAGAAAAATATGCCGATGACAAACATCCCCTAATCTACCTTATCCAGATCATATCAAAATTCATACGTTTCATGATCGCATCTAAGATATGTCATTCCACCTTGTCATAAGCATTTTTCATATTAAGCTTAACAAGAACTCCAGGCTCTGAACCCAAAGCTCTAGAATGAAGGCATTCTTAAGCAATTAGAATGCTATATGTAATTATTCTCCCTTTAATGAATGCTGACTGATGCCTAGCTATGATCTCTGGTAGCACCAATTTCAACCTCAAAGACATTAATTTACCAATAATCTTATATAGGCTCGTAAGAAGGCTAATAAGTATCAGATCTGAAATACCAAATATTGAGTCATTTTTAGGGATTAAAGCTATGAATGTGGTATTTATACTCTTATCAATAATCCCCCTA